TCATGTCTGTGCCTGTGATCATGTTTGTGCCTGTGATCATGCCTATGATCATGTCTGTGTCTGTGATCATGTCTGTGCCTGTGATCATGTCTGTGATCATGTCTGTGCTTGTGATCATGTCTGTGATCATGTCTGTGCCTATGATCATGTCTGTGCCTGTGATCACGTCTGTGATCATGTCTGTGCCTATGATCATGCCTGTGATCATGTCTTGATCATGTCTGTGATCATGTCTGTGCCCATGATCATGTCTTACAGAAATGGAGGAGCTCTCCTCAGCTCCAGCCTGCCACAGCTTGGCATATGTGCATATACATCATCTGGGAGTAAAAGTTGGTTCTTTCTAAATATGCAATGCAGACGTATCACGTAGGCTTTCAGGGCCCCATGTCCTTGTCAGCAAAACAGGAATTAATTCCTATTTTAAGTCACTAGAAAGAATGCCAAAGGGTGACTACTGCTCATGCTTAGTGAGGGGGCTCTCTCACTGGTTCCCTCCCATTTGTCCATGGGTCTGCTAGGCCAGAGCTAGCGGGCCTGTGGGATGGGATGTATGCTGAGGTGGGCTGCATCACTGGAAGCTCTAAAAGGTTTGCCATCACTGGTCTAGACCTTGACAGCACATTGTATGGTTCTAAGAGTCACTCTCACATCTCCAGGCCCTTAGGAGAGAAGCTTCAGAGCAGAGCCAAGGCTTAGCTATCACGTGGCCTCCCAAGTCTATTGAGACCTCCATAGCAACACGGAGCTCTGGGGGCACAGTTGTGGCCCCCTCGAGGAACCTACCAGGTGCAGCTCATCACCCTCGATCCACTGGGTCCAGCCGCGCCCCTCCTTCTCGCCCTTCTGCACGCACTGGAGCTTGTCCCCATCCCAGCTCACCGTGGTCTGCCAAGCAACAAACACAGTCACTAGACCTGAGAAGGCAGCCCCTGAGGGCTGGGGGAAGGGAGCCCCCAACCTTGATAATCGACTCATGTAAATTTTATTCTAGAAAATTTGCAGCTCCATATTCCCTGCCAACCCCATGCTTTTATTGAAGTGTGCAAAGTCGTTTTTAAAATTGATGGAAACCTTCATAAAGATCATTTAGAAGAGTAATGAGGTGGGAACACATTGCTGGGTGGGGCTGTCGCTGCAGAGGCTGAGCATGGAGCTGGGGTGGCCGGGTTCTGAGCAATGAGCAGAGACTGGGCGTAGGTGGTGTGGGTGGTGACGGCTGTCGGCCTAGAGCTTGCTGCCCAGGAGCAGAAGTCTCAAGAACTCTTCCTGTCTCCCGACATTTCATTGTTTCAACCTTTGCTAAGTCTTGGAACATCAAAAGATCCCGTCTGTGCCTCAAAGAGCACTTCATCTCACAGGAAACCAGCCATGTGTACAAATGGCAGTGGACAGCTCCCTGCCGGCTCTAGCAGGCCTTTTCAGGTCCCTGTCTCAGGGCTCACAACTGTCTCACTGGTGTGTGGATTAGCAACACCTTTTTACAGACAAGCTTAAGGGACTTTGGTACTCAGAACATAGGTCAGTGACACTCTGATGTTCTGCTCTCTGCTGCGCTATGCTGCTCCTCTGATGGCCCTGTATCTTCAGTTTCTGGCTGGACCCTGCTCCGAAGGAGAGATAAGGAGGCCCTGGAGGAAAGGCACTTGGTGGGGCAGCATGAGAAGACAAAGGTGGGACAGTACTGTGTGCCTGCAGGAGCTCACACAGTGGGAGAATGGGCTTGGCAGAACACAAGAGGCATCCTGCTGGGCCCCTTCACACCCCCCACTCACTGCTGAGCCCTCCCAACTTCCCTGAGCACTGTGCATCCCACCAGAGGATGAGCCTGCTGAAGGGAAGATAGCAGTCCTTGGGAGATCTCATAGCCTCCTTGGAGCAGCACCCCAACACCAGAATATGGAGCTCACAGCAGTGTGGAAACTCAGAGACTTCCTGCCTCCCAGTACAGCCACAGGTTTCTAGTCTCCCCTGAACCCATGCCTCAGTGCTGAGTGCGCAAGAGGTGCAGTGGGCATTTCTCATGTTGGCACTGCCCCTTCTGGAGTAGCCTTTTCTATGGGTGAGGCATTGCGAGTGAGTCCTGCCTCCCCACCACAGGGGTGGGGGAAGAAGTGTTTCCCTTTGCTTACAGTGTGGCTCTGAGCAAGTCCCTCCTTCCTCTGGAGCCCCACACGCCCATATGGGGCCAGTAAGTCAGAAGAGTTGTCCTTAGATAGCTAAGGTTCTAGGATTCCTGTGTTACCTGCCGTGCTTAGCTAAGATCAAGACAGTCAGGAAAAGGCTGGTAATGATTTGGGAGAGAAAGAGAAACCAGGGGCAGGAGTGTGGAGTGAGCAGGACCACACCCTACTGGAGGACCACCTCTTGCTGTCTCAAGGCCCACCCTGTTCACTATCACCCTCCCCTCCAGGCTTGTCAATCACTGCTGCCCTCTGCTGTTGGGGTAAAGTCGTGTTGACACAGATGCAAAGGAAGGAAGTGGAGCTCTTGCAGAGGTCAGCCTGTGATCCCTGGGCCCCAGAGGGAGTCAGCACACACTGGACCTAGGGCCTGGCTCCCCTCTCTGGCCTTAGAGACTTACTCAGAGCTCATGTCTAGCTCCAAGCCAGAGAAAGGTCCACCTCTGCCAGAGCACAACATGGTCCATGTCTAATGAGATTGGCACGGGTGGAGACTATTACTGATCTTACTCCACAAATACGGCAAGGAGCCCAGTTGTTGGATGCAGTGTGTGTGCCAGGCCATTGATAGGATGTGGAGACCAACAGATCAGTCTCCAACTTTGAGGAACACCTAGGAATACATGGTGTTCTCAGCAACTGATTTTCTCTTTGTGTGTTAATCCAGCAACCTAATCGGCATGCGAAAGGCTTCTGACGCCGTCAGAGCGAAATGTTAGTCCAAGGCTATATTCAAGCTCTCCACAGTGGAGAACAGAGAAAATGGTCAAAGAATAAAATAGTAATAAAATGAATGGACATGTGATCTTGCGTCTTCAGAGATAACTGCTACCACATCTTGGTATATTTCTATTCAGCCTTTCCTATCAATATGTACACATGTTTCTGTTTTTATGAAATTAGGATTGCTTCATTTATGGTTTCATATCCTCATTTCTTCATTCATTTGAAGCAATTTTCTATTTCAATGAATAGTCTCCATAATATTCTCTTTAATTTTTATATATATTCAGGAAGTGGTTACATAATTTGCAAGGTAAGGTGTAAAATGAAAATGAAAGACTCTTGTTCAAAAATGACTAAGACTTTAAAGATAGTGACGGCAGAGCAGTTAGGCTGATAAGAAGCCCTCCCGAAGGATTGCATGGGTCACACACCCATAAAACTGGCCTGGTGGTATTTTATTATACGTGCATACCATTATTTAGCCGACTACTTATTCTGAGACACTTATATAATTTATAATTTTGTGCTGCTGTAAATAAGACTTCCTTGGACACATTGTTTTGAGTACATTGTTTCCTTAGAAATTATGTCCACCAAGGAATTGTTGTACCAAAGAATGTGCATATTTTTAAAGCTTCTGATAAGTATGCTGGTCATCGGCAAGCTCACACCTGTTATCTTCTAATGTCAGAGTTAAAGAAGAAAGAGAAGATCTTTCACGGTAAAGCAGGATGTTATTCCTGGGCTAATGCGTGGCCCTTTCCAGCTTGACTGGCATTACGGGATGGGAGTGGACCTAGATATAAGCAACACTAACAGCTTCGCCCAAAAGAAAGACAGGCAGCAGTCAGAAAGGACAGGGGGTTCAGGGAGCAGAATGCTACTTGTGTGCAGAGAAACCTTTCTGGGAGTTTTACAAACTGGATCTCTCTCTCTCTCTCTCTCTCTCTCTCTCTCTCTCTCTCTCTCTCTC